CCATTGACAAGTAAAATTGCAGTTACTACAGCCAGTCTTTGGCTGACGACAATTGAAATTTTGTCTAGAAATTAGACAGTTTTGCCCCATTTTACAATTTTTCTTGCCACAGTTGTTAAGTGAATCACTACAGTTGCCAAGTTACTAATGATTGCTAAAAGTAAATCTGGCTTCCCCATTGATTTTGCTTGTCAGGTCACAAAAGGGGATCACAAGATCCCAGGTCATAAATATGAGCCGGTTGCCAAGTATCCGAATTTTGATCATGTGACCATGGGGATGCTGCAACGGTCGTTAAGTGTGAAAAATGGTCATAAGCCACTTTTTTCAGCCATGTTGTAACTTTGAACAATCACTAAATGAATGGTTGTAAGTTGAGAACTACGTGTAGCCCACTGAATGGAAGCTGCTTGAAAATATAGCTGCACGCAAGCTGCTGAAGGTGTGAATTGTCTGAAAAGCCAAAAATACCTGCACATACTTTGGTAGTCAGGGTGCATGTTGGATCAACAGCTTTACTACACACAACATATAATGTTTAAAGCCGGACTGGTGTACCAGCTTGTTGGTGTTTATCAAAGCATAAGTATAAAATTACTGCAAAAATTGCTACCCATTGAAGCTATATTAGCACTTAATCTACTTTTTTATTTGCTTTTCGGTCATTCCCCAACGGAATATAATTATTTTCAAAATCTGGCTATATGCTTGCATAGCATGAACAGAAGCATGACTCAAGACCATATAATTCATATTAGCAGTCTCTCAGGGCACATTAGATATCCCGGAGCAGCTAATTCAGATGTCTTTGACAACGAGAAGAATGTGGGCTCTGAGCATCTTGGTATACATGGAAACTATTATGTGATCATTTAATCACATGCCCAATTTTTGAGGCAAGTTGGCATACCACCAAACAGCTTCTGAAAGTGAGTCTACGAAGAAATTGCCAACATCTACTGAGCAGTAACCAGTAATCATACTGTGGTAGACCATGCAAAACAAAGGCAAATTGTTGGTGTAAAAAAGTATAGTATATCATAAAAATGTAACAGATACCAAAAAACTTTTTATACTTAAAAGATTAATTTGAACTCCGACCAAGAACGTTATGAGCTTGGCTTATTCATTCAATTATTTAAATACGAAGTAGGAATAGTAAACGACATTAGTTCCCGTGTATGCAGAAAACAACTGGCTTTTTGGATTTACAGATTTCAAACTTTGCGTAATTCATGTCTCCCAGACCCTTTACCCTTCCCTACTGCCTCCCTATATATTGCCAAAGATCTGGAAATATTTTAAAATATGGACTCCCAATTATTTGTATTTATTTCAAGGATTGTGAATCGCTGTTAAAATAGCATACAAAACCCAGAGCAGTAACCAAGTCCATGCAAAATACTTACTGGGAGCAAGAAAAAGGGGCTGAATTCACAATGCAGGATTTGTTTAATGACCCCCCCCCAAAAAAAATTAAGCTATTCCCCTGTGTTAACTTGGGGTGGGGGTATTGTCCCTCTTTTTAAAAAAACTGATCAGATTTGGGCATCTAAAGCAAGTTTAAAAATTGAGCAACTTTTGCAAATGGTTAAAGGCACGCTCTAGCTATCAGCTTAAATCAGTGAAAAGAACAGGAGTTGTTACAAAGCCACAAGGAATTAGAAAAGTTGGGCAATATTTAAGAGTAGATTTCAGAAAAATACACCCAAGAATGAGCATAAACTTAGGCTATCTGCCTAAATTTAAAGCACCTAAACTCTATAAAGCACCTACGTCTTTTCCTATTGAAAGAAGCAAAAAGATCAAATACTATTTATGGCTAGATATTAATAGAATAAAATTGTCTATAAGATAAATGATTTTATTCCCTTCTCTTATTTAGCAGCTCACAACACAGTGAGACACGTACCCTATTTAAACAGATGCACACAAATTATCTCTTGTTTTCAGTTGATACAATACAAAAAGAAAAAAGAAAACATATTGAGGACATAGAAACAGTGCAGAGAAGAGCAACGAAGATCAGGAGTCTAAATCATATGATGAAGGGCTAAGCTAGGAATGTAGGTATGTTTAGCCTAACAAAGAAAAGCCTTAGGAAAGAACAGATAGCAGACTTCAATACTTGAAGGGCTGCCACAAGGAAGAGGGCATCGATTTAGTCTCCACAGCACTTGAGGGCAGGACAAGAAGCAATGGATGGAAGTTTGTCAGAGGGAAATCCAACCTGGAAATATTAAGATAAATTTCCTGAGAGTGAGAAGAATTAATCAGTGGAATAGCTTGCCTCCTGGAGTTGTGGATGCTTCCTCAATGGATGTTTTCAAGAAAAGATTGAACAACCATTTATCCAGGATGGTATATGAACTCCTGCCTTGAGCAGGGGGTTGGACTAGAACAGAGTTCCCCAACCTTTCCAGGTTGGCGCCCTGGAGGGGGGGAAAGGGGATGATTTTGTGGGTGTGACAGATGCATGCATGCATGCACACGAGCGCCCGCGATGTTCGCGACACTCATGCAAGTGGGGCAGCAAGCACCTGCAACGAGGCTCACGCAAGCCGGACCGCAAGCACCCACAACAAGGCTCATGCGAGTGGGGCTGCACATGCCCCAGCAACGCTTGCGCAAGTGGGGCCACAAACAGCCGATGCTCGCGATGCTGCTCGTGTAAGTGGGCCATGTGTGCGAGTGGGGGCTGTGCACACGCCCACAGACGCGTGTGCACCGGCCAGCCACTCCCACAGCCTGGAGGCAACTAGGCCACAGCCCAGTAGTGGCTCACAAGTTGGGGATCCCTGGACTAAATTTCAAAGGTCCCTTTTTAATCCCATTATTCTATGTTCTAACACTGGAGATAACAATCTGGGAAGAGCTTTATGTTGGAAAGATGCTTGGTTAGTTGCCTCTGAGTCTACCTCAGAGAAAAGGAAAACTCAAACAAACTCTTTCTTAGATCAAGATCTAATTGAAAATAGGAGAAGGTTCCAATCTAGAAAATGACTGAAGTAACTGCTCTCTGATAACTCAATCCCTTTTCTGGCCAGGCCAGTAATGTAATTTGTGTAGATTTCCCTGCTATCTGACTTACACACACAAATACAGACACAGACACACCCCTCAGGTTCTATTCCAGTAGCCCTGGCAGAAAAGTAAAACGCAGTGGTTTCTCCTGTCACCAACCCAGCTGCTCTAGGCCTGGAAACTGTCATTCCCAGTTGGTGGCTGGGTTGAAGGAACACACAGGGATCAGGAGAACATGTTCAGAGCGCCTCTGGCAGGGGGTTCTTCTCCCAGAAGCCCCCCAGTCCAAGGACCAACGTTCAAATTTAGGGAAGAACAGCCTTCTTTCGTCTTTTTCAACCCGCCCCTCTCACCACGCCTTGGAACACATTCCCCATGCTCTTCAACAGCTCCATTGCCACAACCCACTAAACCTGATTCATGCTAACCAACGCTTGGGGCGAAGAAGAGCGTTTAGCATGGTGCAAGCCGGCCCAGCCAGCCAACTCAGCCAGGAGTTCCCTGCCGCCATGCAGGGCTGCAAAAAAAAAAGGCCGGTTTCGGCCCCAGGTCCACGGAGCCGTCTGAAGACCGCCCCTTTCCGCCACCCGACCCCAACCGGTCTGGGTCCGCGCCCGGTTTCCCGCCTTGCGCCGCCTTTTCTTCTCCCCGGTTTTCCCTGGCGCCCCGTCACAATACCCGCCGGGCCAACCCAACAATCCCGGGCCGCCCTCCCCGCAGCCGAGATTGGGCAGAGCCAGAAGGGTGCGCGCGTGTGGATGCTGTCCGCGGGGACCGGACCGGAGGCGGAGGAGGAGCGAGAGAAGCCGCCGCCGCCCCCCGCAGTCGCCGCTGGCCCCGCGCCCGCCCGCCAATCCCAGGCGCAGCCGCCGCTTCCCGCGCGCCCCGACGAGCCCCGGCCCCTGCTGCCCCCGTGCGGCCGCCACCCAATCGCCCAGCTGGGGGAGCGGCGCGGGGCGGGGCTGGAGTTGCCCGGGCCGCCACTGCCGCTGCTGCCTGCGGCCGCCGCTGCCGCTGCCGCTGGAGCCGGCGGGGGGAAGCAGCAGCCGCCGCCTCCTCCTCCTCCACCGCCGCCGCCATGGAACAAAGGAAGCGCTGAGCCGAGCGCAGGCCGTGGCGGCGGCAGCAGCAGCAGCAGCGCCATCAGCGTCGCCAGCGGCGGCGGCGGCGGCAGCAACGCCCAGGCCGCCCCCCAAGAGACAGCGGCGGCGGCGGCGGAGGAGGAGGAGGAGGAAGCAGCGGCCGGAGAGCCCGCCGTCGCCGCAGAAGCAACAACAGCATGTCTCCCGGCCCCGCGTAGCTGGAGCGCTTCGCCGTCCCCGTCTTCTCCGCCGCCTTGGCCGGCCATGCCGAGCGGCAGCGCCTCGCCGTCGCCTCCTGAAGAGCCTCCCGACCTGGGAGCGCGGCTGCTGCTGCCGGCCCCACCCAGGCCGCCGCCGGGCCTGCTGCTCCAGTACCACCACGCTCAGCCGCCGCCACTGCCGGCTCCCCCTCAGCCGCCGCTGCTGCCGGACACGGGGCTGCTGAGGGAGCGCCTGGCCGGCCTGGGCCTCCGGGAGTGCGGGGACGAGGCCTCCCAGGAGCCGGACGAAGAAGACGAGGAGGAGGAGGAGGAGGAAGAGGAGGCGGCGCCTGAAGAAGGAGAAAGAGACGGCGGCGACTTGGAGCTGGACTTGGAGGAGCCGCCGGACGACGAGGAAGACGAGGCCGCCGAGGAGGAGGAGGAGGAGGAAGAGGACGACGACGAGGAGGAGGGCTTCCTGGAGCCCCGGGAAGGCGTCTGCGGCGTCTGCGGCCCGGTCTCGCTGCTGTTGCTGCCCCCGCCGGCCTCGCCGCCGCTGCTGCCCCCGGGGCTGGGCTCGGTGCTGCTGCCGCCGCCGCCCCCCGTCCCTGCTCTGCCTCTCCCCGCCGGCTCGGCCTTTGAGGCGCCCGAGGCGGGGGCGCTGGGCGGGGCGCTCTACGGGCCCGGCGACGATGTCCACGCCGGGGTGATGGCGGCGATGCTCTCGCAATCCTACGGGCTGCCCGGAGCGGCGGCGGCGGCCGGGATGCCCCCCGGATCGGTCTTGAACGGAGAGCAGGCGGCGCTGCTGCGAAGGAAGAGCGTCAACACCACCGAGTGTGTCCCGGTGCCCAGCTCCGAGCATGTGGCCGAGATCGTGGGCCGGCAGGGTGAGTTGGGGCGGTCCCGCGCGTGGGCCTCGAGGTCGGCCGGTCTCGGGGGGATTCCTTACCGGGGGAGGGCGGCCCGTTGGGGGATCATGCAAGCCGAGGTGGGGAAGCTGGGACAGCGATTTCTCCCAGACTGGGGACTCCTACTCCCATCGACCCCAGCTGGGGAGGAAGATGGGAGTCCGATCCCAAAGCACTTGATGGGCACTAGATTATTTTAGAGAAGGCGATAAAAGATGAGCGGGTGGAGAAGGGGTGGCAGGAAAAGGGGGATCCATTCTCTTTCGCTGCCACCCCAAAAAAAGAAAGCTGGAATTCTATTGGAATTTCTTCCTCTCTGCGTGTTCACTTTGGGAGTTGGGAAGGTTTGCTTTGGGTGGCTTCTAGCTGTGAAAAGTTTGGAGAAAGGGTTGGCTCTGAATGGGTGAAAATAGGGTGCCCTTGCAGCCATCTGGAATCGCTCTGCCTTTCATTAGGGAGTGGATAATGGTGTTCAAAACTTAGTTCTGGGTTGCAACATTGCATGCTGAGTAAGAGGAAGTTTGGCCTGAATCGGGATGGTTAGGTTGGGAATGTGGCTGGGAAAAGTAGAGAAATGGCCTAATTTGTGAAATCTAAATTTGACAAAAGGATTTAATACAGGATCTAGATGGCTAGATAGGAAGAAGAGAGGGAAGTATGTTGAAATTGTAGGGGAAGCTTGGTTTTGAAGGGATGAGAAATGGTCTTGCAGGTAAAGCAGCTGAAGCAGTGACACTTTGAAAAATGGGTGTGGTTTATAAGGAAAGGTCTGGGAAACATCTTTTATACAGGAGACTTTCACCATGTTGGGCAACATTTGTTGATTGTATTTTCAGAGCAGAGGTAGGGTGCTAGGAAATTTCACTACCAAATAACTATTCAGGCATGAGGTCCTATGTTTTGGGGAGGAACAGCCAGACAGAATATTTACAATCTATCCCACATACATACCCATCAAACAAAAACACAGAAAATAAATAAATAATAAGGTAAAGAAATGAGTGGCATGGCATAAGGAAAGGATATATAGCTAAATAAGTTAACACCAACACAATTCATTGTACATGGAGTTGTCATATAGTCACCACAATTGAGACTGGCAACTTAAAGTCAGTAAGTGTCGTTGTGCTTGTGATCTGACTTTAGCCTTCTTTTGTTTAGAGACCTGTGAAGGTTGTAAATGTGAAGTTTGAACTGAATTGAATTGAACCTTATTTGGCCAAGTGTGATTAAATATACAAGGAATTTGTCTCGGGTACAAAAGCACTCAGTGTACATAGAAAGCAATACAATAATCATAATTATAATACCAGTAAAGGGGGCAGTAAGGAAGATAATAAGGATAAATACTAGTTTGGTCATAAAGTTACTTTTTCATCACCATTGTTAATTGCGAACGGTCCTTGTATGAATCATTTGCTAAGGGAGGAGTATCTGTCATCGCTATGGTAAATTATTTTCTGTGCAAAGTGGTCTTTTGATTTTGATTCAGAAACACCAACTCTATGAAGGGAATCTAGGGGGAAGGATTTTTGGGAACTTGCTTGTTTAATAGAGAAGGTGACAGACCTATAACTTGGGTTTGCTCATTCTGCACAATGTTCTGACTCACTAATTGTGGTTGGATGTTTTCCTCTTTCTTCTAAATTGGGGATGTTTCCTATCTAGCCTAGATTATTTTTAAGCAGACTTAAGTTCTGAAGAATCCTTGTTTTGCAAATGAACCATCGACTTTCAGTTAACACTGAACACAATTGTGGTTAGTTCCATCTAAGTCCATTTAGAAAGCCAATTTGGTGTAGAAATTAAGGCGCCAGGCTAGAAACCAGGAGACTATGAGTTCTAGTTCCACCTTAGACGTAAAACTACATGACCTTGGGCTTGTCTCTTTCAGGCCTAAGAGGAAGGGCAAATGACTTCTCAAAACTTTTTGCCAAGAAAAGTGAGGGGATTACTATTGTGCAGGTAACTGCCAGGAGACCACACTGACTCAAAGACACACACACATACACACACACACACAAAAAAGTATATAGTAGAATGTTCAAAAAATAAAAGTAATAGACTTAATATAAAGTATTTTCTCAATTAAATTTTCCACTTTCATCATATTTATTTATTCATTCAAATTCTATAGAGGTAATCCCTGAGTTATGAGCGTTCACTTAATACTAGTTCAAAGTTATGCGATAAGCGCCCCCTAGTGCTTACGAGCAAGTCCCGAAATTACGACTGTTGCAGCACCACGGCAGTCGTTGACTGCAGAGGCTCTGCAACATTCACCCTATTCCTCCCCGCTCTCCACAACTGCTTCCCTCTCCCTTCCTGCTGCGCCAAACTCACTTACCTTGAGAAGATCTGTCTCTCTGCCATGGTTTCTGCCTTTGAGGAAGAGGAGAGTCAGTGGAATCTCCTAGATGACATAATATCGCGCGAGTTCAGGCACCCATCCTCTTTTTCAGAGAATAGGTGCCTGAACTCGCGAGATCATGGACCCCAGAAAAGTTCATCTTCGATGCAAACACTGTGCCTGTCTCCTGCTCCCCCCCACACACACACTCTTTTCCGCCGCCACTGGAACACTTTTTATCCGAACAGGGACCTTGGGGAGACCGGAAGCTGCATCTGTGAGCAAATGGGGTGCTTGGAAACACAGTGGATCACTGCGTCTCTGTTTGGATAAAAAGTGTTTGAGCGCCTGTGGGACCCTTGGAAACGCAGTGAATCCGGTGGTGGTGGAAAGGAGTTGGTGAAGCAGGAGAAAGGCATAGTGTTGTGCCGAAATTGAAAATTTCTGGGGTCTGTGATCTCGCGAGAGTTCAGGCACCCATTCTCTGCAAAAGAGGATGGGTGCCTGAACTCGTGTGATATTAACGGGATCCAGGAGCTTCCATTGACTCCTCTCCCACCAAGGCAGAAACCACGGCAGAGAGGAGACAGATCTTCTCAAGGTGAGTCTGGCGCAGCAGGTAGGAAGGGGGAAGCATGAGGTAACGTACTGGGTCAGGGGGGCCTGTTCCATCACTAGGCCCCCCAATGGCCTTCCCCACCCTGAGATACACCATACACACTTAACAAACCATGCATTCGCCCACCCATTCTATTAGCGAATGCGTGGGCGAAAGCAGGAAGTGATCTCGTTCAAGATACAAGATTCACCCCTACGACTACTCAAGTTACGAGTAGAATGGGCAGGCTCCATTAGATTCGTAACTCGAGGACTACCTGTAGTCACCCATCTCAATCTAATTGACAAATACAGTTCAGCCGCCATAGGAAAAGAAAAATTCTAAACACACACTTGCTACTTTTATTCTCTATATGTCGTTCTTGAAATTACAGGAGCTGATCACATCTAGCAGTTGTGGGGATGAAAGCCTATATCTAGCTGGCTGTTGGTGTTACGATGGCCTCGTCCTCTCTAATGTTTCTGAAAGCACCTGAAACAATCCAGGGACTGTGGCCAGTAAGACTCCTCTGCCCTTATACAGTGTGAGAAAGAAATGAAAATAGGAAGGAGGAGATTTTGTCATATACTGGTAGCATGGAAACTGAGTGGCTAAATTAAGCATTGGTTGAAAATTGTGATAAGGACCAAATTACAGAGTAAAAGCAGAATGTCAAAAGAATTTCAAAGGAGAAACAATAATGAGGCCAGAAAAGGAATCTGAACAGAATTTATTCTAAAATGAGGAAACTAGCAATTTTCTTACGTTTGCCCATTTTTAGCATCAAGTTGCATTGTGAGGACTGGGTGGCTAAAGACGCTGGTCGCTTTAACCATAGTTAGAATAATTTGTTAAATCTCATATAGAAACTTCCCACTCTATTGGTTTCAGAGAGGACTCACAATTTTTATAGTAAATGATATGTGCCACTTAGAGATATATCCTTTTTGGGATGAGTGAAAGATATTTTTTTAAAACGGAAATAAAAAAGAACTTTTTTCGCAAAGTCTAGCCTACATTGCATAATACATTTTCTCACAGAATACCAGGCCAGAGTTCACTTGAAAGTAGAATTATAATATTTGGCAGGAACAACTTCATTCACTTGGTATATGGGTGGGAGAGTGTTTGTATCCAGTCACAGCATTTCTAGCAAAAAGGATTTCCAGGAAATAAGAATGGAAACATGCGAGAAGATGGGTAGATCAATGATTTGGCTTTTCATATTCGTGTGGTTGAGAGGAACATTCCCAAATCTACAGACCACTCACACCTTGGAAATTAAGGTGCCACTGAAATTATAAATGTCAGTGGAGAAAGTGTGGGCTTTTTGTCCATGCATCCAAAGGTACATTTAAAGGTACAAGGCCCTTTGATTTGAACAATATATCTAGAACTTAGATTAGTAACTCAGCTGCTCCAAATCAGTTATCCCAAGAATTTTAAAAACTTCTTCCTGTTATTAACAATAGTAATAGTGTGAAAGGTTGTTTTGTCTGTAGCACTGATCTAGTTCTAAAAGTCTGAAAGCCCCAGAAAAAGTCAGAACAGGAAAGCAAAGGTGCATGTTTCTAAAGTTCACAGTTGATTCCAAATTAAGTGTTTCATGAATAACTAATGTTGCTACACCTGACATGCTCTTCAAACTCCTTGTTGGACATAGTTGATGCATCTGAACTCTTGAACTGAGTTTTATAGCCATTCTAGTGGAAACGTGTCTTGCTTGTGCACAAGAGCCTCAGTACTTTGAGTTGTGGATTTGGCAGGACAATTTATAGTTCTAATGGAGGCAAAATGCCTGGCAGCTTTTAGGATGGAATAAGAGGGGAGGGGAGAGGAGAGAAGAAGAGAAGGTCTTCAAATCCAACCCCTTGCCCTATGGTTGTCCAATCTCTTCTTAAAAACTTCCAGTCACAACTTCTGGAGGCACGTTGTTCCACTGATTAATTGTTCTAACTGTCAGGAAATTTCTCCTTAGTTCTAGGTCAGTGATGGCGAACCTTTTAGAGACCCAGTGCCCAAACTGCAACC